GGGAGCCGCGGAGTCGACGTTGGAGCCTGCCTGCCGCGTGTGGACCGAGGTAAGATCGAACTAAGGTACTTCGAACTTCAGCTACATTATTCACGTAGCTGAAGTTGCGTACCTTAGTTCGATTTGGGGGGTTAGTGTAGACCAAGCCTAAGTATGAAAGAAAGAAAACACTCCCAGATGCCTTTCAGAGTTTGCATTAGAAACATTAAAGACAATAGGGTGTTAATATGTACACGTCTGAAACTTGAAATAAAATTACATCGAAAGAGACTGAGACCAGGTCTACAGCAGGAGTGCTTTATCAACATAACTATACCGGGGTACTATACCAACAAAGCATTCCTAGTGTGGAAACAGCTTACATTGGTAAAACTGTGCTTCTGCCTTGATAGCTTATTCTAGCCTCCCGAGTAAAATAAGCTGTACCAGTAAAAGCACAGGTTTTGCTAGTATAACAATGTCTATATTAGGAGCTTTTGCTGGCACTGCTACGTCTGTCACAAATTACACCTTATTACCCAACCGACAAAAGTCTGTAGCGCAGACCTGACCTAAAATACCAGCCTTGCTAAGCATCTCCCGTATAGTTACAGACTTGCATTTGTCTCATGAATCACATGTTTTAGTTGGCCCCCAGCAACTGTACATTGGAAAAGAAAGAGGGTGAGCTGTACCAGGGAGAGCTCCTGCATTGGCATGAGGATGGACTAGATTGCCCCAGGGGTCTTTTCTTGATGGCTACACACAGCAGTGTTTGAGGTAGGATCTAGGTTAGGTTTAAGTGAGGGTTAAGAAAGCAGGTTTAAGGCCAAAGCAGCAGTAGGGTTCAGGTACCAATATCTTGTGAGTTATCTTAAAATCCCATGAGAACAACAGTTCTTGTGAGACTTTGCCACTTTGTGCTACATCCAACTCAGAAAATAGACATCTTCCATTTTTGGATCTATAAGAAAAACCATAGCTACTATTTCAGAACCAGGGATTTTTTTCCCATCCCTTCCCTGTCTTTTAAAACGGAAGGAGCGGTAGATCTCAGGATCTCATGTTCAAGTCTGGTTGATCTGTATCTCTTCTATTACTTTTGCTCTTTCTTTGAACGTTTCCAGATTCCTGTGGCATAGGAAATTCCAAGAAATGACAGTGGCTATATTGCCTCAGTACATGTTCCACATCATTTCTTCAGTCTTAATTGCAAAAACTCCCTGGACTCTACACCTCTCTCCCAACTTCACCATGTGTGCCACCATTCATACAATTCAAACAGGAAGACAAAATATCAGAAAATCACTACAGCCATTGAACTCAGACCTTTTTACCTGTCACATTCTTCTTACGTAGGAGTTACACAGCATGCTCTTTTAAAGCATATAAATCATGATATATTTAGACCTGGCCATCAGAAAGCTTTATGCCTTGTAACTGATGCTAAAGGACCTTGACAGCTTCTAACTCTCTTGCCTCATTACTCTTCTGAATGTCTATTTAATACGTTTGATGTTCTTTTTTTACTAAGCTAATAAAGTGATGAAGTATGACTGAGGTAGGATTTCATTGGCAGAGGATACAACTGAATAAATCCAATCTCTAGAGGTAGTAAAAGGAAGATATGAACTTTCATTAAGGACAAAGCCAAGTTTTGTTTTTACTGAGAAGTTGTAGAGATGATATCTGAGCCTGCTAAGCCTATTAGATAGAAACACTTTAATAGAACCCAGTTTGCTGCACTTACCAAAAAACAATTCTACTGTTCAGATAACGTTTAGAGATTTTTATATATATATATATATATATATATATATATAATATATAGTGTAAGACAAGAAGAAAGACATGAAACTAGGTGGGAACAA